GTGTGTGTGATTGTGTGAGTGAGTGTTTGTGTGTGTGTGTGTGTGAGTGTTTGTGTGTGTTTGTGTGTGTGTGTGTGTGTGTGTGTGTGTGTGTGTGTGTGTGTGTGTGTGTGTGTGTGTGTGTGTGTGTGTGTGTGTGTGTGTGTGTGTGTGTGTGTGTGTGTGTGTGTGTGACACGTATCTCTTGGTGCGACAGCTATACAGGGGTAGGTTAATTCACGTCATACGCGTGACAGACATGAGGCCGATTGAAGACAGGCTATTACGAAAGCGCAACACCTGGGACACAACATCACTTACATAACCAGGCGAAATATTCACAAAAAAATGTATATTCGTTGCATGTATTCAAGAGTAACGTTACTACATATTCCATCGGTTCAGGCAGGTCAGTTGGAGACATTTGATATCCCCGCCAATATATGCGTGTTGCTGTCATCCTGTGTCGCCAGTTGCTTACTGTGGGCGATTAACCACGCCAGGTAACCGTCAGTAGAGTGGCTGACTAGTGTATATGTATAAGTATATGAATATGTCTATTTCTATTTCAACGCCTTCGTCTATGTCTATGTCTATGTCTATGTATAAGTATAAGTATATGTCTATGTCTAAGTATAAGTATAAGTATATGTATATGTATATGTATATGTATTTGTATATGTATATGTAAATGAATATGTATATGTATATGTATATGTATAAGTATATGTATAAGTATATGTATATGTATATGTATATGTGTATGGATATGGATATGGATATGTATAAGCATAAGTATATGTATATGTATATGTATAAGTATATGCATATGCATATGCATATGCATATGCATATGTATATGTATATGTATATGTATAAGTATATGTACATGTATAAGTATGTGTATATGGATAAGTTTATGTATATGTATATGTATATGTATATGTATATGTATAAGTATATGTATAAGTATATTTATATGTTCATAGTATCCGTCGAAGAAGACATTGACGGTCTATTCTATCTGTGCTGGAAGACATTGACGGTCCATATTATCTGTACTAGAACACATTGACCGTCCATAGTATCTGTACTGAAAAACATTGACGGTCTTTATTATCTGTACTGGAAAACATTGACGGTCCATATTATCTGTACTAGAATACATTGACCGTCCATAGTATCTGTACTGGGGATATAGACGGTCCATATTATCTGTACTAGAACACATTGACCGTCCATAGTATCTGTCGAAGAAAACATTGACGGTCTAAATTATCTGTACTGGAACACATTGACGGTTCATATTATCTGTACAAGAACACATTGACCGCCCACTTCTAGGCAGTACTGTATGTATATGTATATGTATATGTATAAGTATATGAATATGTCTATTTCTATTTCTACGCCTACGTCTATGTCTATGTCTATGTCTATGTCTAAGTATAAGAATAAGTATATGTATATGTATATGTATATGTGTATGTATATGTATAAGCATAAGTATATGTATATGTATAAGTATATGTATATGTATATGTATAAGTATATGCATATGTATATCTATAAGTATAAGTATAAGTATGTGTATAAGGAAAAGTATAATTATATGTATATGTATAAGTATGTGTATATGGATAAGTATATGTATAAGTATATGTATGAGTATAAGTATATGTATATGTATAAGTATATGTATATGTTCATAGTATCCGTCGAAGAAAACATTGACGGTCTATTCTATCTGTGCTGGAAAACATTGACGGTCCATATTATCTGTACTAGAACACATTGACCGTCCATAATATCTGTACTGAAAAACATTGACGGTCTTTATTATCTGTACTGGAAAACATTGACGGTCCATATTATCTATACTAGAATACATTGACCGTCCATAGTATCTGTACTGGGGATGTAGACGGTCCATATTATCTGTACTAGAACACATTGACCGTCCATAGTATCTGTCGAAGGAAACATTGACGGTCTAAATTATCTGTACTGGAACACATTGACGGTTCATATCATCTGTACAAGAACACATTGACCGCCCACTTCTAGGCAGTACTGTATGTATATGTATATGTATATGTATAAGTATATGAATATGTCTATTTCTATTTATACGCCTACGTCTATGTCTATGTCTATGTATAAGTATATGCATAGGTATAAGCATAGGTATATGTATATGTATAAATATATGGATATGGATAAGTATATGGATATGGATATGGATATGTATATGGATATGGATATGTATATGTATATGTATATGTATATGTATAAGTATAAGTATATGTATAATTATAAGTATATGTATATATATTCGAAATGAATATGTATATGTATATGTATAAGTATATGTAGATGTATATGTATATGAATATTTAAATGTATAAGTATATGCATATGTATATCTATCAGTATAAGTATAAGTATATGTATATGTATATGGATAAGTATATGTATATGTATATGGACATGTATATGTATATGTATATGCATATGGATATGTATATGCATATGGATATGTATAGGGATATGTATAAATATATGTATATGTATATGTATAAGTATATGTATATGTATATGTATATGCATATGCATATGCATAAGTATAAGTATATGTATATGGATAAGTATATGTATATGTATATGTATATGTATAAGTATATGAATATGTATATGTATATGTATAAGCATATGTATATGGGTAAGGATATGTATATGTATATGTATAAGTATATGTATAAGTATATGTATAAGTATATGTATATGTATAAGTATATGGATATGGATATGTATATGTATAAGTATATGTGTATGCATATGTATATGCATATGTATAAGTATATGTGTATGCATATGTATAAGTATATGTATAAGTATATGTGTATGTATAAGTATATGTATATGTATAAGTATATGTATATGTATATGCATATGTATAAGTATATGTGTATGCATATGTATAAGTATATGTATAAGTATATGTATATGTGTATGTATAAGTATTTGTATATGTATAAGTATATGTATATGTATATGGACATGTATATGTATAAGCATAAGTATATGCATATGGATATGGATATGAATATGGATATGTATAAGTATATGTATATGTATATGTATATGTATATGCATATGTATAAGTATATGTGTATGCATATGTATAAGTATATGTATAAGTATATGTGTATGTATAAGTATATGTATATGTATAAGTATATGTATATGTATATGCATATGTATAAGTATATGTGTATGCATATGTATAAGTATATGTATAAGTATATGTATATGTGTATGTATAAGTATTTGTATATGTATAAGTATATGTATATGTATATGGACATGTATATGTATAAGCATAAGTATATGCATATGGATATGGATATGAATATGGATATGTATAAGTATATGTATAAGTATATGTATATGTATATGTATAAGTATATGGATATGTATAAGTATAAGTATATGTATATGTATATGTATATGTATATGTATATGCATATGTATAAGTATATGTGTATGCATATGTATAAGTATATGTGTATGTATAAGTATATGTATATGTGTATGTATAAGTATTTGTATATGTATAAGTATATGAATATGTAAATGTATATGTATATGCATGGATATGGATATGTAGAAGCATATGTTTAAGTAGATGTATATGTATATGTATAAGTATATGTATATGTAGATGTATAAGCATATGCATATGTATAAGTATAAGCATATGCATATGTATAAGTATAAGTATATGTATATGTATATGGATAAGTATATGTATATGTATATGTATATGTATAAGTATATGAATATGTATATGTATAAGCATATGTATATGGATAAGGATATGTATATGTATATGTATAAGTATAAGTATAAGTATAAGTATATTTATATGTATAAGTATATGTATATGTATAAGTATATGTATAAGTATAAGTATATAAATAAGTTGATGTATATGTATAAGTATATGTATATGTATAAGTATATGTATAAGTATAAGTATATGTATATGTATATGTATATGTATAAGTATATGTATATGTATAAGTATATGGATATGTATAAGTATTTGGCTATGTATAAGTATGTGTATATGTATATGTATGTGTATAAGTATATGTATTTGTAGCAAGACAACGGTATAAATATATATATATAAAAAACTTGTGACTATCCCGGGTTTTACCTTCGTCGAAGGTTGAACGACTAATTGTTCCAATTTATAAAAAAATACAACAACAAAGATTATGTCTTAACTGGCTACCGAGCATTTCTAAGGAGCACAAGCAAAACACTTCACTTCTGTTCGCTCGCTGGTTTTCCGGAGGAGTGTGTGAGCTTTCTGGTCAAGATAGGACTTATTTCTAGTTACAATTACAAATGTGGAAGTCAGCCACGCAGATGTCGCGTGCAAGTCAGCATGGGTAATGTAAACCAGTTTATTGACAAATCAGACTACAAGACAATCCAGTCTGTATTCGTGGAAGAGGATAAGTGTGTGTGTGTGTGTGTGTGTGTGAGAGAGTGTGTGTGAGTGTGTGTGTGCGTGCGTGCGTGTGTGTGTGTGTGTGTGTGTGTGTGTGTGTGTGTGTGTGTGTGTGTGTGTGTGTGTGTGTGTGTGTGTGTGTGTGTGTGTGTGTGTGTGTGTGTGTGTGTGTGTGTGTGTGACACGTATCTCTTGGTGTGACAGCTATACAGGGGTAGGTTAAATCACGTCATACGCGTGACAGACATGAGGCCGATTGAAGACAGGCTATTACGAAAGCGCAACACCTGGGACACAACATCACTTACATAACCAGGCGAAATATTCACAAAAAAATGTATATTCGTTGCATGTATTCAAAAGTAACGTTACTACATATTCAATCGGTTCAGGCAGATCAGTGGGAGACATTTCATATCCCCGCCAATATATGCGTGTTGCTGTCATCCTGTGTCGCCAGTTGCTTACTGTGGGCGATTAACCACGCCAGGTAACCGTCAGTAGAGTGGCTGACTAGTGTTGACTGCCACTGACATGTTTGAGTGACGCATATACATGTACATGATAGACTAAATGGGTCACCAAGCAGAACGTGCTTATCCTTTAAGATGTGAACAAGACGGTAATGTTAAAGACTGCCAAGAGCAACAATGTGACCCCATGTAAGCAGCTCATGGACATTGATCCTGAGGTGTCGCCTTGTCAGTTTGCAAAGGGTTTCACATACACACTGAGATGGGTGAGTAAGGTGCTGTCAGGTTGGTATCCGAGTGTCAGCGTGATGTGAGAGGAGAGCACAAAGTGATGCAGGACTAACGCGTTACCACATAGGTGAAACAAACCTAGAAACATATACGAGCGATCCGGTATTCGAACCTATGATCCTAGATTTCTGGCAGCCAACGTGACTCACGACTACATACATGGTTACTTACTAATCCCGTACAGATGTGTGAAGCTTTCTCGGACATTGATTTGCAGATTTCCTGTTTTGTGAAAAAATTATTATTATTTGAATGTTTGATTTTTAGAAATGGCGAAGGAAACTTACATCTATATGGCGCCGGCTGCACGTGCAGGGAGCGTGGTGCGGGACTTTGGGGCAGTTAAGACAACTCTGTTGGTGGTCTTCTTACCCCTGGTGCTTTTACCGCTACCCATACTCTCAGACTCTACGGTAGGTAGTTCTTTTACCTATATACATGACCGCCTCCGTGGTCTAATGGTAGAGCGTCCGCCCGGAGAGCGGAAGGTCCGGGGTTCGATCCCCAGCCGCGTCATACCAAAAGACGTTAAAATATGGTACCTGTTGTTACCCTGTCTGGCGCTCGGCATTAAGGGGCTAAAACAAGGACTGGTTGGCTCGGAGTCAGTATACTGTGTCTGAGTGAGGTATTCATGTTAAACTACGGCATGGTATCTCAGTGTGCTAGCACTATAAATCGGCATCAGTCCGGAATAGTACAAGCAGCCACACACACACACATATACACGTACATGCATGTCGGTATATAAGTGCAATAATCTTGGACGCGGCGTTAAACCCCATCTCACCTCACCTCACCTATATACATACCTCTATCCAAAGTCTCAGACTCCACGGTAAATGATGCCTTTCGTCTACCTTTACTGTCAAACTCGACAGTAGATGGTGCTTACACATGTACCTACACTCCCAGATCCCACGGTAGGTGGTGCTTTTACCCATATACTTACTCCCAGACTCGACAGTAGGTGGTGTTTTTAACCCTACCCATGCTCTCGGACTTACCGGACTGTGCTCAGTCATACCAGAATAAATATCCCTAAAACTATTCACGATCCCTAACTGTGTTGAGTATTTGTTTTCAATCAGAAATCCGACCAAGAAGTTTAACGTAAGGTTAAGGTATTTATTTATTGCCGCTTTTATTACGAGAGTGTCGTAATGCAGCAAACATAAGTAAAATTCCACACACCGTGTGACATGTTGTTGGTGTGCATGAAGTGCAGCTGTATCTGCACAGTAACATCATAATCTGCTTACATGAACGAGGGCATAGACATTGGGGACAATCACTGGACAAAATATCATCCATTCCCAAAAATCCAAAACTTGGAAATACCACCATTCCAATTGGAAATATGACCATTCCAATATTTGGAAAGGTCATATTTCCAAGCTTGGATTTGTTTGGATTTGTTTGGAAATGTTTGGAAATGTTTGGATACAACATGTCATAATCATATCTGTTAAAAGTTGTACAACTTTTGACCTTATGTGAGATTAGTAATGACATGAAAGTAAATAATTAAGAGTATTTTGGCACTATGTACCACGAAAAGACCAAATCATGAGCAAATTTAACTAAAAGAAATTCTGTCATTTAAAGTGGCTACTCTTTATATTTAATTTCTTATCTTCCTTGTCTATAATTATATGACATTGCCTTTGAACTTTGAACAATTAAACAAATATTTTGTTTTCCCATACCGCCTTACGGTTGTCGTAGAACAAAGACCGTTTCGAGAATATAGAGGGCCTCATTATTATAATTTGAACTAATATACATATGTACATAATAGTACTAGGTATAAATGAATTTTGATAAGGGTTCGTACAAGAATATGAACTTCGAATTATGCGCAACACATAGGGCTGAAAATTTTATAATTGTTCTGGAACTATCTGACGGTAATTCAAAACAGGGAACAAGATTTCGTCAAATGTATCATCTAGCCAGGAATGCAACGATTTAAATGCTGACAAAATGAATAAACATATCTGGAACAGAGTAGACTGTTCATGTGGACAATTATATGCTACGTCTATTGCCAATCAAGTTTATCACCCCATGTTATAGCATTTGTTTTATATAAAAGATAGAAACCAAATAAATGGGACAATTAGTTGTTATGAATTAGCTTTACCTCTGTGACATATCACATAACTAAATGTGAATATGTTTATCAAATAATCAATTACAGTAATTAACCTAGTGTCCTTATATATACACAATTTAATTATGTATTGGGGTACAATATATAATACACATATACACGGAATGATTTCTTATTTTGTCAATTTAATCATAACCCAAATCATACAAATCAAAGTGTGAAAGTAGTGACTAACTTTATGATCAAGGGTATAAATACTCAATTGTATCTATTAATCCTAATAGTATAACAATAAACCCTGTGTATATACTGAGCATATTTAGATACATCCGGATCTACGACCGCAGCCATACAATCAATCAAGGAAAGTATATTAGATTGAATTACAAATGTGCTATCACTTAAACAAAATTTTCCGTTATCCACGTAAGCCTAAACCTGGGAGAAATAAAGTTCTGTTCTGTTCTGAAGACGCCGTCATGATTAGTTGGCGCCAGTCTAGACTGTCCAATCAACGTGAATATACAAACCGTGATGTTACTTGACCAGTTGATGACACCTGTCAACTCAAAGTGCCCCTGGTCCTCCACCCACCATGTGTAATACTTTAGCGTACTTGATTGTTTAATTTGCAGTTATATCACTGTTAGGCTGAGTGATGAGAGAATACATTTTGTTGTTTTTGTTAACGATCGTTTCCATTTTCAACGTGGTAACCTTAAAAGTGACTAACTTTTTTATTATGATGAAATGAAACATTAAAATAATCAGAGGGACTGACAGTCGCATTTGTCGCATAAATGTCATGCTTGCATTAATTTCATGATTTACTGAAGATAGATTTGAACATTTCTGAGCAACGATCATGTTTGGGTAAGGGAAGTAATCTTGTCTCCGCTTGCAATTGGATTCAGTTCCGAGATCGCAGCTTGACTGTTCGGTACGGCCGAAAGGCGGCATCCATGTTGTTCACGCTCCGCTGATCACGGGGCCTCATTTGTCTGTATTCTGCTTATGAGCCGGGATGCGCATGAAACACGGGTGTCAAAACGAATATATTTACCAATTATACGTACGGTCAATTAGCCAGTCCAAGAGACAATACCCTGGTTCTACCACCTTTAGGTGTAATTACGTCGCATGCCCCTGGTTCACGGTTCGTCTGATCTCCCGTCATAAAACCACGATGTTTATTTACCTGGAGCCTCCGACAGCGCCGACTTCCTGTGTACATGTATGTCCATGGCAATAAATGGTTTGACAGTTGTTTGACGGAATCAATCAATAATTATTGACACAGTGATGTAATTCAAATTTGTCACTATTCACAACTCCTATTTTTATTTTTCTATTGTTCAGCTGTATTTTCGACCAGTTTTATATGTATAAAAAATCTTCTCTTGTATTTATAAACCAAACCTAATAACATTATATAAGAACAATTGTGTTTTTAAACCGTAAGTTTTCTTTTAAAACAACCATGCAAATAAGATTTCAGCCGTAATATTACTTTAGTCACTCCACAGATTACACATCTTATAAGCTGCAAACGCAGCGAATGTAATGCTACTACGTCACAGCTGCCTCGGTAATTAAGGGGTGGAATGTTTTTGTGAAGGCAGTTAGAGCAGACGAATTCCCCCCCCTCGCTGTATAACGACGGTCGCTTACCATGTATGTGTATTTTTACTGTTTTTGGCTTGATTTGATTGTCCTTTGGTGAAAACAAATGTTCAATTGTGAAAGCAAACCCTTTTCCCCTGAACGTTAAAAGACAGCTGACTTTGTTTTTGTCTGAATATCAACGTTTGGAGTCGTTTTTATATTCGGAAATCCATATTATGGTTAATATTTATAATATAATATGGACAATGGTAAAATTCATTATCACAGTTTAAGTGCTATTCACAAATGTATGTAAATCTACTTCGTGATGAATGAAGCATGGCAATAAATGTATGCATCTGATTCTTCATTTGTTCTGTATTCTTTGATGAGAATGAGTTTCGTTAATGATGATCACTCTCACAGATTTTTTGATAAGAGGATAGGACTTTAACTGGAGAATAGTTATGAAAAATATATATATAAGTATAGGCGGTCTGTGCACATGTGGTGAAACTGATACCTCATTGATTTGCTAATCGGGACTTGGAAATCATAGTCTGTCATTAAATTGATTTTAAAATATATGGTTTTGACTGTAGTACGTCCTGACATCATAATATTATGTTGTAAACAACTTATCTTATCTTATGTTAAGTAAAACAATTATTGATAACTTCCTGAATTCCAATTGTTCAATGAACAGAATTATTCACAGCTCTGGCGTGAGACAACAATAAATTAGATGTTACCAAAGATTGTCCATTTTATGATCTTAGGCACATGTCGGCGCACTTACATGTGAGCCGTCTAGACGACTCTCTGTTTTGTAATTAAATGGCAGCTGCCATCCAGCCGAATACTTAATCTTGAGACCTATTACACTGCAAACACGAAAACGTCGTTTTTTTTCCGTATATGGTCATTGGACGGAAAAACGACTAAAAATTCATTAAAATTGATTAATTGGTGAGCGTCTAGAAAGTGTGCAGAAAATGGTCGAGTTTTTCAAGCGTAAAATGGACGGAAAAACGATGCTTTTTGCTCCGCCTTGTACACCTGTTAATGGCCAATCAGCTGGCGCTGGTCCCCCGACGCACGTGATTCCCAAGGCTTCCTTTCGAAAGCTTTAGGTTTCGTATTTCTGGCATGCTTTGCTCTGGTATCTGTCGCGCGCAGTGCAGCGAGATTTGCTGATAAGCCAGTTTTAGTATATGCAACATGTTAATGGAATTCAGGCACGCGCCAAGAAGTCAAACCAAACAATGTTACCAAGTTTATTGTGGTAACATATCCCTCGGCTATGAACAGTTACCCCTATCGAATAATGGGTTGTTTTTCATTTGGTTATAATAATAACATTTTTTTTTAATGTGAAGTTTACAAGATATACAGCTAGGACGAGAGGTCGGTCACATGACGTTCTTCACGTGACTGTATTCTTGAAATGGCGTAAACACTGACTACTTCCACATTCCTGGGGAAAACCCTTGGAATTCCCTGGTACGATTTCATACAGAAGCGTGGTTGCATGCCCGTTTAAGGATACCCTCGCTACAACCCATCCCAGAGAAAAAACCAAACGAAAAAACCATCCAAACTATCGTAGTGACAATCAACAGCAATCTATGAATTTACCTTAGTATCTATTTGACACATCTTTACAATCACCTTTCAACGATCGGCTAATAG